TATAAAATTGTTATTTTATTAATAAAGATGATCAATATTGAAACTATTCATATTAAATAAAGATATTAACAGTTTTTAAGGAGCTTACATATTGAAAAAAATATTAATGGCCTGATAGGATATTACAATGATTTTTTAAACTTCATTTAGAAATCATTTTTCTTTGATAAAATGTAAGTTTTAACAAAATTTTTGATAAAATATATTATCAATTTATGTAATTTTTAATTTATAAAATTCTATCTATAATTCATTTGATCGAATAATTTTGTTATTGTTTGGTTCAAAGAGTGTAAAAATAAAACAAATTATCTTAAGAATTTAATACTAACGGATAGTTAACAATCTCAATTAAAAATTTTTTATTTTTTTTTTTGATAGCTTCGTAATTCAGATAATTACATTTAAATTTATATAATTAACATAGTGAAAAAATTTTAGTCTTATGATATTTCGTCTAGTTTCGTATTAATTATCAAAATTTTAATATAGACATTTGAAAATCTTTAAATGAAGTCCATAGATGAAATGTAACTAGTTATTGAAATTATCCAGAAAATAATCATTAAAATAATAAAAATTTATCATTTTATGTAATCTGAATCGCTTACCAAGGTTAGCTTTTATTTAAAAATATAAATAAATTTTCATAAATTAACTTTGAAATTTATAAACACTAAAATAATTAATTTATCTAAAATTGAAAACTTGATCTTAATGGATCCAAAATTCAAATTCGATAATACTTATAGAGTACTCAATCTCTAATGATGAATTTGTGTTTTTAGTTAATCAATAATTGCTGAATAATTCTCATCTTTTTCATTAAGTTTCTATCTTCTTAAATTTTCACAATCTCTTAACTTTTAACTTAAAATGAAAATTTCATCGAGAGCTTAAAAGTTTTTAGTACTTTAATACTTAATCTTTGAAATTTATTTAATTATGATCCATCAACTTAAGCTACCTAAGGTTTTGATAAGCTAAATATTGTTCTAATTAATAAATATGCAATTTTTATTAATCTATTATTTTTAATTAACTCTTAAGATTATGCTAATAGAATGAGATTCATGCTTAAAGACACTATTTTCTTATTCACAATTTCTTAACTCCGACCCAAGTCTGATGTTTTATTACAGATATTCAACTTCTTTATTAACCAATGATTTTTCAACATAATTATGGATAATTTTTTTTTTTACTTGGTTTGGGGAATAAGAAAATTGTTATTATACAGTTTTTGTTGAAGATTTACTTCAAAAATTCATTTATAAATAATAAAATTATCAGAGCTTTTTTTCATTATTTTAATTTTTACTAAAAATAAGATTTTAATATAATAAAAAAGACCAAATTCAATTAATTTAGGCTTTTTTTAAAGTTTAATTTTCGACTTTATTCATGTATGAAACATTCCTTATTTCATATAGTCTTAAATATAATTAAAAGAATATACTCCAAGGTTAATTAATGATTCATACTCTTTAAATTTTTAATAGTTGTTTCTAATTCTAAAATTCTGATTATATTAAACTTTCAGCTTTTCTTCTATTTTATCGAAAACTTATAATTATTTAACGATTTTTCTCTACTTTATCGTTCTTTATTAATAGTATCTTTTATTTATAATTATAAATTCTTTATTTTATAAATATAATCATCTTAGATTTATTCTAATTTAGATTCATAGTGTCTTTCTAATTAGTTTTGATATTAATCTTGTATGTTCCAAATTTTATTTTTAATCAGCATTATTATTATTTAAGGTTTTAACATAAGAATCATGTGATTGTTTTGCTAAACTAAATTTAGCTTCTTATTCAGTTAATTTTTATTTCCAGCAATGTATTTTTTCTGATAGTTCATTAATTTTTCTTCATATCTCAATATCCTATTTCAATCCATTTTCCATTCTAGTAATTTCTATTTTTAAACTTTTTATTTCTTTTTGTTAATATATCATTTAATGTGCTTATTTAATTTGCTTCTTTATTTAATCTATTAATTTTATCCTTTCTTTTTTCAATTATTATTTTATATCTATATTTACTTTCTGATTTTTATCGAAATTTTCTTTGAGATCTATTATTTCCTCTCTATTTTTAGCTATTTAATTTCAGAAAGTTTAATTAATTTATTATTCTGAACTGCATTTTCTCACTCTTCTTTCAATTATTCTGTCAAAAATTTATAATTTTCTTCTTTTTTTCATTAAGATTGAAATTTTATTTTCATTATAATCCATCATTTTAATTGTTTATCTAAATTACTCTTATTCTAATCTAGCTCTTTTTAATGCCCTGTTTTCATCTCTTAGTTAATCAATTTCCGTTTCATTATGAACTTATTTATCAAATAACTCTCTTTCTTTTTATGCATTTCATCAAGTTTTCTGATAAATCTGTTTGACTTAATTAAATTTATTTGAAAGATTAACAATTTCTTATTTGAGATTCTAATTTTAATATTTTAACACTTTATTTTCATTTTCACTTTTACGAAATCCATGAATGTATTCTTTTTTTTCTTTTTTTGTAAAGGCTACTAATAAAGTTTAATTTTAGAATTTATTTTCTAAAATATCTTAANTTCAACTTCTTTATTAACCAATGATTTTTCAACATAATTATGGATAATTTTTTTTTTTACTTGGTTTGGGGAATAAGAAAATTGTTATTATACAGTTTTTGTTGAAGATTTACTTCAAAAATTCATTTATAAATAATAAAATTATCAGAGCTTTTTTTCATTATTTTAATTTTTACTAAAAATAAGATTTTAATATAATAAAAAAGACCAAATTCAATTAATTTAGGCTTTTTTTAAAGTTTAATTTTCGACTTTATTCATGTATGAAACATTCCTTATTTCATATAGTCTTAAATATAATTAAAAGAATATACTCCAAGGTTAATTAATGATTCATACTCTTTAAATTTTTAATAGTTGTTTCTAATTCTAAAATTCTGATTATATTAAACTTTCAGCTTTTCTTCTATTTTATCGAAAACTTATAATTATTTAACGATTTTTCTCTACTTTATCGTTCTTTATTAATAGTATCTTTTATTTATAATTATAAATTCTTTATTTTATAAATATAATCATCTTAGATTTATTCTAATTTAGATTCATAGTGTCTTTCTAATTAGTTTTGATATTAATCTTGTATGTTCCAAATTTTATTTTTAATCAGCATTATTATTATTTAAGGTTTTAACATAAGAATCATGTGATTGTTTTGCTAAACTAAATTTAGCTTCTTATTCAGTTAATTTTTATTTCCAGCAATGTATTTTTTCTGATAGTTCATTAATTTTTCTTCATATCTCAATATCCTATTTCAATCCATTTTCCATTCTAGTAATTTCTATTTTTAAACTTTTTATTTCTTTTTGTTAATATATCATTTAATGTGCTTATTTAATTTGCTTCTTTATTTAATCTATTAATTTTATCCTTTCTTTTTTCAATTATTATTTTATATCTATATTTACTTTCTGATTTTTATCGAAATTTTCTTTGAGATCTATTATTTCCTCTCTATTTTTAGCTATTTAATTTCAGAAAGTTTAATTAATTTATTATTCTGAACTGCATTTTCTCACTCTTCTTTCAATTATTCTGTCAAAAATTTATAATTTTCTTCTTTTTTTCATTAAGATTGAAATTTTATTTTCATTATAATCCATCATTTTAATTGTTTATCTAAATTACTCTTATTCTAATCTAGCTCTTTTTAATGCCCTGTTTTCATCTCTTAGTTAATCAATTTCCGTTTCATTATGAACTTATTTATCAAATAACTCTCTTTCTTTTTATGCATTTCATCAAGTTTTCTGATAAATCTGTTTGACTTAATTAAATTTATTTGAAAGATTAACAATTTCTTATTTGAGATTCTAATTTTAATATTTTAACACTTTATTTTCATTTTCACTTTTACGAAATCCATGAATGTATTCTTTTTTTTCTTTTTTTGTAAAGGCTACTAATAAAGTTTAATTTTAGAATTTATTTTCTAAAATATCTTAAATCATCTTATCCGATTTCTAACTATTGGTTGATTTGTATTATATCCTAAAATTAATTTAAATATGATTATTCATTTGAACTAACTAATCATTGATTAATTAAAAATCATATATTTGACTTTCATATTATGTCAAAATTTTAACATTTATACTATTTTCTTTATTCACTAATCGAACTCTTTCTTCAAGGTTTTGTTTTTCTAAATCATTAAAAACACTTTTAATATTATTATTACTTATTGAAGAAATTACTCGTTTTTACCCTACAACTATTTTCTAAGAAATGTATTATCATCATTAACCATTTAGATTCTGGCATCCATTGCAGCTAAATCATCCATTAATTTGTAAAGTATGACATCATAATTAATGTGATCCTCATAAACAATAAATAATGAAGCCAGATATGATAAATCTGTGTAATGATTGATAAATCAATCTAATCTTTTTAAACATTCATTTAGTTCTTTAGATGATCTTCAATCTATTTAAAATCATAAAATTTAATTACTGGTGTTAACTTAGAAAGAAAGTTCTAATTTTAAGGAGTTTATTTAATTGAAAAGTTCAGCTTCTGTTTATTTAGGTTAAATCCTAGATATTCGATGTCATTGCATTTTGAAACTATTTGTTCTGTTATAAATAAAATTAAATATATATGATTTGTTGTTTTATAAATTTTTATTTTATATCAACTACATAAATCTTATATTTGCTCCTATTTTGATTTTTTAGCAACTTATAATACAGATTTTTAAGCATATTTTAAACAGTAATAAAAGTTAACATCCTCATCAGAGTATGCAGTATTTTTGTCAAAATTATCATATAATTTTCCAATCTCATTTATTAATTAATAATTTCCAAGTAGGAATTTTGATATTGTTTCTATGTGTTATTAATTTAAAATTTTTCTGTGCATATTCCTGAAATAATTAAATATACATACAAGAATTTTCTAAAGTAGTTACAAATTTCATCCTTTACATTTACCTGTTATATTGTTGAACGAAAAATAAATGGTTCGACAGGAACATAAGGTGGTATAGGTTGTATAGGTTGTATAGGTTGTATAGGTTGTATAGGTTGTATAGGTTGTATAGGTTGTATAGGTTGTATAGGTTGTATAGGTGATATAGATTTTATAGGTATTGTTAGTCTGTTGATTTCTTCAAGGAGCTCTTAAAATGTCAATCTTTTAGTGGGATCATAGACTATCATCCTTTCAACCAATTAAGTAAATCTTGAATTAAAGCATGTTTTAAATTTATATGGAGTGGTTTTAATTTCTTTAATAAATTTAATAATGCCAGCTTAATCAAGACTAAATGGATATCCTCCAGTTATCATCATATGCAATATTATACCAAGCTAATTAAGTAGCAAATAAATACAGAATAAATATCGACGACACTTTTCTATTTCTTCATTGTTGAAAATTTATGATCTAGTTCCTCGTCCATAATTAAAGAATTTAATTCTGGAGAAGCAAAAGCAGGTGTTCCTAATTTTGTTAACTTAAAATCATTTAATTTATAGATTCTTCCTACTCCAAAATCAGCCAATCTATAGAATTTTTACTAACCGATTTATTAGATTAAAATATTTTCTGGTTTAATATCTCTATGTATAATGTTTGCATCAAAGAGAGCTTTATATCCATTTACAAATTATTTTATAAAATCGAAAATTTCAAAATCTTAATAAATATTTTTTTCATTCCATTCCTATTAAAGACTAGAAAAACATTTTTCCATAATTATTATTAGGTAAGATTTTACTTTATCATGTTCTACATAATGAATTTTTACAAGATTAGGATTTAATTAATTTTTCTTAATAATCTCTGTTATTTGTTTTTCTCTATCCATGTCTTTCTCTTAGACTTTAATTTTGTTGTCTTTATAAATTGTTAAAACCTATTAAGATCATATATGATATACCTTGGCGCATAATGGTTAGAGAGATCCTTTATAATAACATTCATAAACCTATCCGTAATTACCTTTACCTATAACTTTGTTTGTGTTGATAGCATATTCTTACTATTATCCAACATATTACATTTTATTATTACTTATATTAATATTTATTCATCATTAATAGAATTAGATTTAATTTGAAATAAAAAGCATATTTATTATAAATTATAAAATAAATTAATTAATCATGGATCAATTCCATTAGTGAGTTATTGAAACTTATCATAACAATATGTTCCCTTATTATTGATATATTATATATCAATTTGATTACATGATTTTTACACTGATTATAAATATTTTAGAATACTTTTTCATCGGTTTCCTACAATTTAAATTGATTTTAAAATTCGTTAATATTAAAAAAGTGAAACTATGAAAATTGCTTTTTTCCATCATTAATTCAAGAATTTGTAATAAAGCAGCAAAACTTTTTCTTAATTCAAAATCCAGAAATTATCAACTCTATAAAATATTTGAATGCTTTACAATCACATCCATCTATTAATTCAATATAATCTTAAGTCGTTTTGAATTGGGATATCATAAATCCAAAATCAATATGAATTAAATCACCTTAGTTATCTACAAGAGATATTTCAAATTTAAAACAAATTTTTATAGATTTTGTTCGCATTTTTATATTGTATTATTTAGGAGCACTTATTACTGAACTTAAATAAATTAGGTTTAAGCCTATATACTTACGGATTGTTTCTTATACTCCATAACTAAAATATGAAGTTGTATTTAATAAGCTCTTCACCTCAAACAAGGGGAATATAAAAAAAATATTTATAATAATTCGACGCAAAATAGTTATACATCTACTAGTAAACATTGATGTTACTGTCATGTGATGTTTTCTTTAAGGTCAAAAAATTTCTTAAAATTGTTATGTTTTAGTTTAAATTTAAAAAAAAACTTTTTTTTTAAGGTTATAAAAGTATACCAAAAAAAACTCAAAACTTCCAAACTAAATGTTGAAAATAAAATAGAAACGTCTTGAAACAAGCTTAGCCTTCTTAACGAATTTAAGCAATCGAAATTGATGGCTCCTCAAATTTATATTTTCTTTGCAAAGATAACTTTGACCCCCAATAATTTGATTTTCTGATATCTATGTCTTATTTGATACTTTATTTATGCTTTTGATTTATTTTCTAAGATATCTCATTTGATCATTAAATCACCTGAAATTAAAGGTCATTCACTAATCGAACTCTTTCTTCAAGGTTTTGTTTTTCTAAATCATTAAAAACACTTTTAATATTATTATTACTTATTGAAGAAATTACTCGTTTTTACCCTACAACTATTTTCTAAGAAATGTATTATCATCATTAACCATTTAGATTCTGGCATCCATTGCAGCTAAATCATCCATTAATTTGTAAAGTATGACATCATAATAATGTGATCCTCATAAACAATAAATAATGAAGCCAGATATGATAAATCTGTGTAATGATTGATAAATCAATCCTAGTCATTCCTAATCTTTTTAAACATTCATTTAGTTCTTTAGATGATCTTCAATCTATTTAAAATCAATTACTGGTGTTAACTTAGAAAGAAAGTTCTAATTTTAAGGAGTTTATTTAATTGAAAAGTTCAGCTTCTGTTTATTTAGGTTAAATCCTAGATATTTGATGTCATTGCATTTTGAAACTATTTGTTCTGTTATAAATAAAATTAAATATATATGATTTGTTGTTTTATAAATTTTTATTTTATATCAACTACATAAATCTTATATTTGCTCCTATTTTGATTTTTTAGCAACTTATAATACAGATTTTTAAGCATATTTTAAACAGTAATAAAAGTTAACATCCTCATCAGAGTATGCACTATTTCTGTCAAAATTATCATATAATTTTCCAATCTCATTTATTAACTAATAATTTCCAAGTAGGAATTTTGATATTGTTTCTATGTGTTATTAATTTAAAATTTTTCTGTGCATATTCCTGAAATAATTAAATATACATACAAGAATTTTCTAAAGTAGTTACAAATTTCATCCTATACATTTATCTATGCAATTTATATATTAAATTTACTTGCATTTGAATAATATTAGGCATATTTATAGGTGAAGCTTATTACTAAAATTGCTGGACTTAAAGATTTTAAACTGGAAATGGTTTGGATTAAACTTATTAAGAAAATTAGTTTTGAGTTTGGTTGAAAGGACGATTTTGAGGAGTATTTTGAAGATTTTAGGAAATATTCTGAGGATTTAGAGATTAAAATTTAGGAAAAGGGGGTATTGTTAGTCTGTTGATTTCTTCAAGGAACTATTAAAATGTCAATCTTTTAGTGGGATCATAGATTATCATACTTTCAACCAATTAAGTAAATCTTGAATTAAAGCATGATTGAAATTTAAATGGGGTGGTTTTAATTTCTTTAATAAATTTAATAATGCCAGCTTAATCAAGACTAAATGGATATCCTCCAGTTATCATCATATGCAATATTATACCAAGCTAATTAAGTAGCAAATAAATACAGAATAAATATCGACTACACTTTTCTATTTCTTCATTGTTGAAAATTTATGATCTAGTTCATCGTCCATAATTAAAGAATTTAATTCTGGAGAAGCAAAAGCAGGTGTTCCTATTTTTGTTAACTTAAAATCATTTAATTTATAGATTCTTCCTACTCCAAAATCAGCCAATCTATAGAATTTTTACTAACCGATTTATTAGATTAAAATATTTTCTGGTTTAATATCTCTATGTATAATGTTTGCATCAAAGAGAGCTTTATATCCATTTACAAATTATTTTATAAAATCGAAAATTTCAAAATCTTAATAAATTTTTTTTTCATTCCATTCCTATTAAAGACTAGAAATACATTTTTCCATAATTATTATTAGGTAAGATTTTACTTTATCATGTTCTACATAATGAATTTTTACAAGATTAGGATTTGATTAATTTTTCTTAATAATCTCTGTTATTTGTTTTTCTCTATCCATGTCTTTCTCTTAGACTTTACTTTTGTTATCTTTATAAATTGTTAAAACCTATTAAGATCATATATGATATACCTTGGCGCATAATGGTTAGAGAGATCCTTGATAATAACATTCATAAACCTATCCGTAATTACCTTTACCTATAACTTTGCTTGTGTTGATAGCATATTCTTACTATTATCCAACATATTACATTTTATTATTACTTATATTAATATTTATTCATCATTAATAGAATTAGATTTAATTTGAAATAAAAAGCATATTTATTATAAATTATAAAATAAATTAATTAATCATGGATCAATTCCATAAGTGAGTTATTGAAACTTATCATAACAATATGTTCCCTTATTATTGATATATTATATATCAATTTGATTACATGATTTTTGCACTGATTATAAATATTTTAGAATACTTTTTCATCGGTTTCCTACAATTTAAATTGATTTTAAAATTCGTTAATATTAAAAAAGTGAAACTATGAAAATTGCTTTTTTCCATCATTAATTCAAGAATTTGTAATAAAGTAGCAAAACTTTCTCTTAATTCAAAATCCAGAAATTATCAACTCTATAAAATATTTGAATGCTTTACAATCACATCCATCCATTAATTCAATATAATCTTAAGTCGTTTTGAATTGGGATATCATAAATCCAAAATCAGTATGAATTAAATCACCTTAATTATCTATTAAAATATTTCCATTATGTCTATCTTATATTTACATTATATATGTTAATAATGAATAGCCTGTTAAGCTTTTTATTAAATTTATCTAAGCAAAATGAAAATCTTCTCCAAAATAGATTTTACAAAATTCCCTTAGAGATTTATATTTTTTGGATTTCAAGTATTTTTTCATAGCATCTAGAGAAATAGTATTTGGTAAAAATTCTAAAAAGCCAATATGATTAGATCGTAATTCTTTTTCAGAAAATTATTTTTATAATTCTATAAATTTTATTTTTATACATATGTGATATTTGAAATTCTACATTATTCAGTATTTCTTTACTTTATTACTAAATAAATAGAAAATTTTATGTAATTCATTTACCTGAATTAAGGAATAAAGTTATAAATGAATGTCGAAGGCATCTAAAATAATTTTTAAGTTAAATATCAATGAGGTCCTGGCTCATAAAATGTTGCCATATAGTAGTATTTAGAATTCACTTTTTATTTGTAGATCTTATTTGAGAATTCAATGTTTTTGAATCAATATTCATTTCATTGATTTATCTTGGTAATTTATCCAAATCTAAAGTTTATGTTTTATTTTACAAATTAAATATATTAATAAGCATGTTATATGATCTAATTGATAAGATTGTTTAACAATCACATCTATTTAAAAATTATTAAAAACTTATAAAAATTGGAATTGATGATTAAAATTTATAAATCTTTTCTTACTTTTAATTGAAAATATATTATAATTATTAGAGATTTAATAATTATTGATATTAATTGTTTGAAAATTGAATCAAAATAAGAGAAAAGACAATCATAGTAAAAATAAAGAGTAGTAGAGGTTTTTGTAATAATTATAATTTAATCAAAATAAAAAATAATGGTTTCATAAAAATATAAAGAATTGTTGGTATTAAGATATAAATAAAATGTGCAATAATATTTAGTTAATTTAATATAAATTTTATTGATTATATTTATAAAAATTTGTCAGTTAATCATTACAAATGTAAAGAAAAATAGAAGGCTATAATAAAGGACTATATAATTCAATATCATAATTTGAACCAAAATAAAGATCCAATGGTAAGACTAGTTTAGGAACTGGATCTTTTGGAACAGTTAATTTGGTATAGAATATTAAATCATAACAACTATTTGCTATTAAATCAATTTAATAATGCAATATCCAAACTCCATATGAATAAGAGGGAGTTGAAAGAGAAATTAAAGTTCATTTGAAATGTCGACATCCAAATATTGTAAACTTATATGATAGTTTTATTGAACATGGAAATGTATATATGGTATTAGAGTATGCAGAGAATGGGAATTTATATAATTATGTATAAAGAAGAAAGAGATTAGAGGAAAAAGAAGCTTGCAAATATTTTATTTAGACTTGTAGAGCATTGCAATATTTACATGAAATGAATGTTTTTCATAGAGATATAAAAGTAATGTATAAAACTATTGTTTAAAGCCTGAAAACCTTTTACTTGATAATAATAATGATATAAAATTATGTGATTTTGGTTGGTGTGCTGAAAATATTCATTTGAAGAGAAAGACTTTTTGTGGAACTTATGAATATATGGCTCCAGAAATTGTATCTGATTTGCCATATGACTATAAAATTGACATTTGGTCAGTTGGAGTATTATTGTATGAATTATTGCATGGTTATGCTCCCTTTAAAGGAAAGGAATACAAGGAAATTGCATAGAATATTAAGAATGGACTAATTAGATATTCTAGTTCAATAAATTAAGATGCCTAAGAATTGATAAAAAATATTTTGCAAAAAGATCCTTCATTAAGATTATCTTTTAATGATATATATTAATCTGCATTTGTTTAGAGATGCATACCATAACAATTTACATGTAAATTAATTAAATTTTATATGATAGAATTGAAAATATCAATGTCTCCTAAATCAAGTTTTTCTGTGGATCAAAATTCTATTTAAAAATATTAATCTCCTTTAGTAAGTCATAAATAATAACCTTTTGGAAGATTAAATTAAAATAATACAAATAACAATTTAAATAGTTCTTCTTCTATGAGTATCAAATCTCCTAACATTTCTAAAACTAGAGTAGATTCTAAAAAATAATAAAATATGTTTGATGATATAAAAAAGAAAATTATTTATGAATAAACAAGTCCATTAAGAGATGCTACTAATATGCATAAAAGAAATTAAGTTAGTTTTACTAGTCTGATAAAAAGTTCTAATACAAAACTTAATACTTTAACAAGTCAATAACCAAAAAAATTATAACTTAGTAAATATTGTTCTAAATCGAAAAATTTTGATGAGAATGGAACTGTTAAATTGTTAGAATAGTTTAAATCAATGCCATCCTTCACAATTGAAGATTAATAACACACATATGAAGAAGAACAAAGATTAAATTTAAAAACTGATAGAGTAAAAGGGTATTTGCAAAGTTTTAACATATATTAGATTTAAAAAAGAGCCTTAAGAGCCATAGGATCTGGACAAACTCTTAAAAATGTATCTTAGCATGTGTAGCAGCAGATCTTGATTAATTATATATATATACAATACTTTTTATCAATAAATTTTATATACAAAACTTAAATTTATAAGCTTATTAAAATATGTATATTAGGCATAACTAAGCTAATAATTATAAATTTCATTGAAAACTTTTCTTGTATTTAAAAACTTTTATCAGTTATTTCAAAAATAATTAATGCTGGTTGAAAATATTAAATTGTCAAAGTTTGATTTTGTATTTTTAAATTCAATGTCTTCTTTCTTTATACCAAACTATTATAGTATTTATATTAGATATATGATGAAAAAAATAATTTTAATTGGATTAAAATCAATATTTCATAAAACAAAAAAAAATTCAGAAATTACTAAAATACGCAATCTTTTGAATTAAATTTACTCCTATAACTAAATTCTTATTATTGGGTTAAAATTAGATGATCTCAAAGTAAAAATAAGTATTGGATTAAATATTAATTGAAAATTGGTAAAAAAATAAAAGGAAATGTGAAATAATTTTTTATAATCATTCTACTATATTTGGATTAATATTGAATGAAAATTGATTATATGTTATGGTTGTTGGGAAAGAAATTAAACAATTTAAAGCATTTATAACATTGAAAGATTAACATCAGTAGATAATTAGCTTATAATTTACGATAATAATAATTTTTGTACTGTTTGAGCAAATTAAGTTGATACATATAAATCCCGTATTATTCAATTAACATTATAATATAAAAAAATATAAATCTTTAATGAATAGTAGTGAAAGTGTGATCGGTGTTAAAACTAGATCTATGAATGTATGCGAAAGAGTGCTTCAACCAAGAATAAAAAGAGACTATTGTCATATTTCTAAAGAAAAGAAAGCTTAACTGATTCAAACTGTACTGAAACAAAAGTGTAAAATAAAGAAAGTAAGATACTTTCATTATGATAGATAGCAAAGGATTTAAATATTAACTATGCTACTGCCAAAACTATACTTCATTGTTTTAAAAAAAAACAAATAAATTTTGATGTAGATCCTGAAGTTAAAAGAGTGTCTGTTGGTTCAATAAAGGAAGATTCAAAGTTTTGGGTCTAAATTAAAGTAGCCGATCAAACAATTAAACATTATGAGTAATTCCATGAGATCAAGAGAATCTAATGATTTATTTTTAAACCTTCTTCACATACGTTAATCTATATATTTTTTATGCTGTCACTATTATATTGACTAAAATTTGCTTTATCTATATCAAAAAAATGAAAAAAATGGCTATAGTAAATAATATCTCAAAGACCAGAGTAAAGAAAGAAAATGAATATCAAAATTTCTCGATTATTAAAGTTGGATGCGACAAGGATTGATAATTTATTCAGAAATGTACAGTATTTACCATCTTATACTTTTGAAATACAAGTCGATATAAGCTTAAAATTGTTTCTTTAGTTCAGTGATTAAACATTATAATACAAAAAAACATTTATTCACTCATTCAAATTTTCTCTCCCAATATTATTAAATTCAATTTCTTAAATCAACAATACATTATATAATCATACAACAATAAACATTTTATGAATACAATAGGATTCTCAACCTTTATTAAACAATAAAAAAAATTTTCGAAGTTGATAAATCAAATTTTATTGATAATCATAAATATATATTAAATACATCGACATTGTATTGAAAATAAAATTTTAATTAATTGATAAATATCCTTACGCTTCAATTACTTTTTTAAATATATTGTATCAGCTTTTTACCTTTGGAATACTATTTTATTCAATCCATTTGTGAATTAAGCACAAAATTAATATTTTTAAAACATGAATTTAATATTCAATAATACCATTGTCAATAATGATCATATTATAATATAATTTATAAACACAAATTGTTAGAAATTTAAAAGTGAACAATTTGAATTTGGTTGATAAATTTCATTCAATTAAAAGTCGATTTTGGTTGGTATTATTGACTATTATGGTTTGAAATGCCAATATCTTATTTAAGTATATTAAAATAATCTAACAGATTTGTGTAAAAAAATTAAATTTATTTTCATTATTTAATTAATTGGAAAGACTTTATTTAGTGCGTCAAGCATTAAAAAATCTATTTTCATCTTTTAAATAAAATAAAAATTAAAAAGCATCACTCAACTCTATTATTATTAATTATGAAAACAATTTAATATTTATTCAAACTGATTAATTAATTAAATTGATATAATCCTAAATGATGTAAAGAATTATATAAAAAAATTTTAATAATAAATGAAAATTAACAAATAAATGCAAAATGCATAATGGAAAATGTTTGAATGTGATCTTATTAATTAAGAGTTTGAAGAATAACAAAGTATAATAGTACCAAAATTTCCAAAATTTAAAAAACCAACGTTTAATAAATTGTAAATAGTGACTAATGTTTCATACAGAATTAACGTCTGTTCCCCTTCAAAATTAGATGATACTGTATCAATTAGTACAAAGAAATCAACTACAAATGTATAACTATTTAAATAAATTATATAGAGTTAAGGTGGAAGCTACAATTATATAGTTAACCATTACATTTAATAAATTAAAGATCATATTAATAGGAGTAATAGGTAAAAAGTGTAAAATTTAATATATTAGATAAGAATTAGAATCTTAAATTATTAGAAATTTGATATCTTAAAAAGCATAAGCAATATATATGTTAGATATCAAATGGGCAGCCAACTATACATAATATCTATAAAATTAATAATCAAATATTCCCCTTTAAATAACTAATAATAATCTATTTATTGATGGTGATATTCGCAATACCTATAGATAAAACTTAAAATAAGATTTAGATTTTGTATTGATGAATCGTAACACTTGGTAATTTTTAATTGCAATTTATGGTGGAGGACCTGAAATTAATTTTAATGATTATTTGGGAATAAGTAATGAATCTTAAAATAATTCAAGAGAGGGTTCTTTATAAAATATAGATATTAGCATAAATAATAGTTAGACATTTTAAAAATAAAAATTTACTTTACCTGCAATAGGTTTATATAATGAAAATAATTATTGTTTTATGCATGCAGCAATTTAAAGCTTATTATCAATTGAATAGTTGACTTGTTGGGTTACAATAGAAGGGAAAACAAAAAAATAGGAAGATTATAAATGGGTTCAATCTTACTATTAAATAATTGATCAAATATAAAATTGTAAGAAGGGAGAGAATATAAAAATTGATATGTTAAAAAAATTAATAAAGAATCAATTTGCTCCTAATTTATAGCATGATTGTTAAGAGTTTTTATGTTATTTGACTGAATAATTAAACAAAGAATTAAAGCAAAATAAATACGATTAAGCAATAACAGAAATTCTATTTTAAGGATAAATGATGTAATAAATTTAGTGTCATAAATGTAAATAAATTTCTACAAAATTTGAATCATTTTTTGAATTATCTTTATCAATGAATAATATGAAGGGATTAAAATAATGTTTAAGTCAATTTTTTGCAAAAGAAGTATTGGAAGACGATTATATGTGTAATCAATGCAATGGAACAACAAAAGCAATAAAGAAATATTTAATAGGCACTGCACCATAATTTCTAATAATTCATTTAAAACGATTTTAAGAGAAGAAGTTACATAATTAAATTGAATTCTAAAATAATTTAGATATCTCTGAATTTTGTTCTGTAAAAGCAAAGTATAAATTGAAATCTGTGATTGTACATTATGGAACATAAGAAAAAGGTCATTATGTGAATTTTTCATTAAAAGGAAATTAAGTAAAATTTAATATAAATAAAAGTGGTATTATTTTGATGATCATCGAGTATAACTTGCTAGAGAGTAAGATGTACTAAGATAATAAGCTTATATTATATTTTTTGAAAGATTAGATGATTAGTTACTATGAATTAATAATTTTGCATATAATAATTATTTTATTTATTAGTTTGATCGAATTTGTTAAAGATTAACATTAATTAAATATAATATTCACTAAGGCATCCTCATAAATTTTATTTTTAAATAAAACTTCTTTAAATCTTTACTTTAGGGCGATTAATATTAAAAGTAACTTTGTATCTAATTTTTTTTTTTATTGAATTACAATTAAATAAAGATATTAAGTTTAGTTATGAGGTGTTTAATTATTCAAGAAGTTTTTAGAAACTTTGAATTGGAGATGAATTAGAGTTTAAAATTATAAAAAAGTCTTTGATTAGTGTGATTGATAATTTTAACTTCATGAACATAGATTATCTTATTAAATTATTTTATTTATCAATAATTAATTGCTAAAATTAATCTTTTAAGTATCACTTTTCAAATTATGGAACTAATAGAACTATATAATTTTGGAATTATTATATTTTATTAGATTGTAGATTAGAATTTTTGCTTTTTATTTAATTAATTATAAGATGATTAATGTTAATAATCATCAAGTTAATAATTATTATATATTTGATTAGATTTTAAAATTTTAAGGAACTTCATTTTTTAAAATTATTATATTATATTCAATAAGGATTCAAAAGTATCTCTTTTACAGTGGATATTTTAAATCCTTTATTTAAAGAATAAATATTATAATTTAGAAATTCTGGGATATAAATCCTATTCATTCCATTTCCTTTCATTTTAATTGAAAATTAATAAAATATTTTGAATTTAAAAATAAACTCACTTACAAAAAAAGAATATTAATTATAAAATAATTTTTTTGTAATTAAAATTCATTAATTAGAGAACTTAAAAATATTAAAATTCTAGATTATTTGATCTACATTTTCTTTCTAATCTATTAAAAACTCAAAACTTAAAAAAGTAATTTTAATTTCTTTTTGTGAGTAAAATTACTCTCAAAAAGCAATCTGATTTACTGAAGATTATCAAGATAGTTTCTTAGAGTATACTATATTTTAAGTTGAAAAATTAAATTAAGAAATGTGTTTAAGATATTGATAGTTTAACTGATAATCTCCATGATAATTAACTTTATTTGGCCGTGCTTTAAAGCCTTTTGCATGTTAATATTCATACACCAAATCTCCTTCATATTTGGTTCGACTAGTCTATTAAATTAACTCATTTAGAATATTCAATTTACTTAGAGACTAATTTATTAAGGTGATGAAATATATATAAACGGATCAAGCATTCGAGCTATCAAATTTTTAAATAATTTATATATCAAAATCATAAGTATCATGATACTTTTGAGAATTCCATAATCTAATTCATTTTGAATCTTAGGCTCTATTTTATCAGAAGTCTATCTTAATAGTTTTTATATATTTTACTCATATTTGAATGGAATGAGATGATAATATAAAAATGTGATTTAATTTTTATTACACTTTTTATTCAACCAATTAAGTTCAATTTATTAATTTATTTATTATAATCATCTATTTCTTGCATTAATTATTGTATTTTTCTTTCTTCTTATTTACTTTTTTCTAACTATCTCATAATTTTTTACATAAAAATTATAATATATCAATTAATTATTTACTAATATGCTTTATTTCAATTTTCCTGGTCACTTAGTTGAAGAATTCTTCTAATTTTATTAAATGTCTATGAATTCAAAAAGTCTAGGTACAACAGATAGATAATATAATATTTACGAATTTATCTATCTAGGAACATTATTCATTATTCTACATATTTATGAATACAATCTTGATATATTTTATATATTAATAATATTAAATAACCAATGAAAAGCAACATTATGTTTGGGGGTATCTCATTCAATTGTGGCGATCGTTATAAACTTATAAAATTAGTTGGAACAGGTGCCTATGGCTCAGTAGTCTTAGCATATGACTTACAAAACAAAAATCATAAAGTTTCATTTTTATTCTAATATTATTAGGTAGCAATCAAAAAATTAAATGTAATCGAAGATGCTATTGATGCAAAGAGAATATTAAGAGAAATTAAAATCTAAAGATCAATGAATCATCAGAATATTCTCAAAATTTATGATATAATCTATGATTAGAAAGCTTAATGTTTTGGAGATATTTATATAGTAAGTCCATATTTTCCAGCAGATTTACATAAGATAATAAAAAGTAATCAAGATTTATCAGTGGAGCATGTTTAATTTATAATGTATTAATTATGCAAAGGATTATACTATTTACATTCATCAGGTTCAATTCATAGAGACATAAAACCAGGGAATATTTTAGCAAATGAGAATTGCGAGGTTTGTTATTGTGATTTTGGTTTTGCTCGTAAGAGAGATGGGATACAGGATTAAATGGGTGAGAATATGACTGAATATGTAGTGACTCGTCATTATAGAGCACCTGAAATAATGTTATCAAGTTAATAGTATTCAAAACCAGTAGATATTTGGTCATTGGGATGTACATTTGCAGAATTAATGAATAGAAAGATACTATTTAATGCTCCTAATTATATTTAAATGATTAAGATGTTTTTTGATATTTTAGGTAGACCATCAGATGAGGAACTAAATTAATTTGTAACAAACGAGAATGCTTTATCTTTTATAGAGACATTACCTCATAAACCAAAGTAATCAGCATCTAAAAGTGTACCATATCCAGATGTTAAAGCAAGAGACTTATTAGATTAGATGTTAGAGATGAATCCGAAGAATAGAATTACAGCATAAAAAGTTTACATTATCTTACATAAGTGTTTAGAACATCCATTCTTTGAGTCTATTAGAAATTAAGTAGAAGAGATAACATTCACTGGAAATCTAGAATGCGACTTTGAAAATGATGATGCCATCACATTAGAAACATTGAAGTACCTTATTCTTACTGAAATCAATCATATTAAAGCTAATAATAAAGAATAGTTGATTAATATACAAGAAGAAATGATAAGAATAGGTATAAATCAATAATATCATTAATGATAATATAAATCAATAATAACATAATTATTATTTTATGAAACCAATTGAAATTGTTTAGCTAATTCAAAATTTCTAAAAGCAACAGAACTACCCAAATATAGTATACATTATATCTTACAAGTATTTATATATTCTCTATTTATTAGTTGGATTCAAAATTTTATTGATTCTGCCAAATTTTAAGGTAATAAATTACTACCTATGAAACCTATTAATCATGATATTGTTGATGAAATTAAATCTAATATCATTTAGTAATACATATTTAAAATTATTAGATATCAAGATGATATTTTCAATTCATTTTTAAAAGATAATTTAACATTAAATGTAGATTACATTTATATTAATGAATTGATATGGTCAAATTTAAATGTAATCTTATTAATAATTTGAAGACTCTTTATGATGGGTATTGTGTTAAAAGATAATTGACAAATTTTAATTAAATCAACCAATTTAATATTTTTAACTTTATTCCTATTTATCAATCCTAACAACATTATATTGAGGGAATTTAATAATTTGATTCCACCTGGAATATTTAATAAATATATACAAATCTAGAAAATGCATTATAAAATTAATTATTACTCTCAATTCCAAAATCAAATTTCATTAAATTGTATATTCTTAAGAATGAGGATCAAACCAATTTTGTTCAAATTATTTAAGAATTAAGGGAAAAAAAGATAGAATTAGAAATTCTAGTAGATACAATTCAGTTACATAATAAAAAATATATTATAATGGATATAAAGTAAATGAATAAGGGATTCTATTTGAATTAAACAATACCTACAAATTAAATTAGAAATGAAGAATAAATAAGTTATGAATATTTTGAAGATTACAGAAAAGGATTATCTATATTCGAAGATCAATAAAGTTTATTAAGTTGTATGTTAAAATGCTATGAAAGTATAGATGCTATAAGAAATTAAATCTTTAATGATTAATCTGAAAAATATAAGAATCTGAAGTAAATATTAGAAGAATCATATTATGGATTTAGTGAATATGTTTATTATGATTAATTAGATTATGAATTCTTTGAAGAGAAATAGGTAACTATAACAAAATCTCGTTATGATGCAGTATACATTTATAATAATGAAAACAGAATAATAATTAATAATTAAAAGAATATTCGTTAATTGGTGGAGTCTTTATTAAGTCATCCATAATTGTAATGTGATTTCAATTCAGTCTTATTTGAGAGTAGTAATGAATATTATACTGAAGATATTGATTTTACAAAACCAGCTTATTGTTTAAAGGAAGGATATACATATTAATTAAGGAAATTGATGTGTTAAGAACATAATATTAATAATGAAGATCGAATATAAATAAGAGTTCTTTAATGTCTATATGAAAATATTGGTTATCAAGAATACAAATCTTTTGCCCCTATATAAAAATGTTACATAAGTCAATGGAATAATTTATAAAATCTGCATCTATTAATAGCTAATTTATTTGAAGAAATTAATTAAGAGAATTATACATAACATAGATTGAATAAGAAATATAGTTTGTATTTCCAAACAGATTAATAAGGATAAAAAATATGTTCATTTTGTTTGCAGAAATTCTGTAATAATTGTTAAGTACCATTTAATGATAAACCATTGAAATTTGGTAAAAGAATAATCAACATTTATGTGATATATCAAGAAATGTAAATTAAAGTTCCTCGCTTTTAACCTTAAATCTTTGATAATTATTTCCTAAGAGAATATTTTGAGGTGGATTGGGCTTAAGATTAAATTCTAATTTTGAACATAAATTAAGATTAAATCAAACCTTATAATGTTAAATATTATTTTGATTCACGTATGTACTTATTTAATATTTCAGATCTTTATTAGTTATATGGAATAATAGAAAAGGTATCATAATCTGAATATTAATGCTATTGTAGAAAGAATTAATTATGGTATAAATTTTCATAAAATAAATATGAGTAAGTTGATAATCTAAATGATGATTTGAATGTAATTAAACTGTTTTATATAAGAAAATGATATGAATAATTTTATAATATAAATTTAGAAATTATATAAATAATAATGAGAAATAGAAAGGAACTTGGATAATCATTTAAAATGAATGGTCCAATACCAAAAATTGATAAGACTCCAGTGAAAAGAAGGAGTTGTGAATGTTCGGAATGTGGTTAAGTAAACAAAAAAATGTAATATATTGGATCTATAATCTAACAATTTCATCCATATTTTAATATAGCTTTTAAATTGTTTGAAAATGAAAGAAAGAATCAAGAAAAGTAAACTAAGATTCAATAACAGAAATAATTAAGATTAAGAAATAAGAGACATAATCATAATAAAGATATGTTAAAAAGAGCAGTCAATGTAATTACAATATAAGATGCGTTAACAAATAATAGGAGAAAAAATGTAGAACTACCTCCTATAAATATGTGTTCTTTAAAAGAAATAAAATATAATTCATCGAATAGTACATTATCAGTTGTACCATAAAGAAAAATGTGGGATAAACGATAAACTACAATTAAGTTTCAATACAACAAAAACAATGGTCATAATCAAAGATGTTACTTGCCTGCTATTCCTTTAGATTCTCATCTAGTATTTAGGATTAATAAAGTTATTTACTAATAATATATCTTAAGACATCAGTAAGGAACTGTTGATGATTTTAATTTTAAATTACGAATTAATATTTTTGATGAAAAATAAGAACCTTAACCAATTAAACATTAATTATTGGTTCCACCTATTAGATAAGAAGAAGATTATGATGAAGATGAATCTATAATTGAATCAGTTTAATAAATGCCGATTAAAAATAAACCTATAAGAGAAGAATAATATAAATAAATCTTGAAATATAATAAAAGAAGTTTTGCTAATCTTGTTGAATAGGCCTAACTAACAGAAAGAAAAGCTATACAGAATTTAATTAAAATTAGTATTCTTATCTATCTTAAATAGGTAATAGTCATAGAATCCTACCATTAATATTTGATTAATAGCCGTTACCAATTTATATGATTCATAGTAATTATTTAGATGCTCAAAAGACATCCAAAAGTACTAAGTTAATTAAATTAGAAAAGTCATAACCAGCTATGCTAAAGTAATTAATAATAATTTAATTTAAGATCATAAAGTTAGCATGTTAAAATAATAGCCATAAATAAACATAAAAAGAACTAAACAGCAGGATCAGTATTGTTAAGATTATGAAATTCTTGTTAAATATTTCATAAGTAGTTGATTATATGAATTATTAATTCTAATTATTTATAATATCATAAAATATTATAAAAATGAACAAATATTTTTTTTAATATTTTAAATAATTTAATTTTTTGATTTGAGTAAATTATAAATAATATGTCTATAATGATTTGAAAAGTTATATATAAATTCATTATTCGAAAACATTAATAGCAGAATGAGAAAATTGAATTTTTTCATCTTTAAATTTAGCATCAAATCCTGATAAATTTAAATATTTTTATTCTAGTGTTGGCTGATTATTCATATTTTCTTCAATATCATCAAAATCAACAGTTTCAAGTTATTAAATAAAATCCATATGAGGTTGACTTGCAGCAATTTTGATTGGGGCTTAAGATGATTATTTTAATTATACAGCATCCTAAAATGAAGGAACATATTTAACTGCATTAGAAGATGAAGATCCTAAAATAAATAAATAAATAAAATACCAAGATTAGAAATATTTGATTATTTTTTAGTATTTGATCTTTGAGCAGGATCATTTGCAGGTACAGCTAAAAAAGATGCTTAAAGTTTAACTTCTTATATAGATTCTTTATGTTATGATTTATTAGACCATTCAAATATATTATCATATGTATTAGTATTGCTGCATTATTTCATTAATGTTTTAAGCATATCATAATCAGGTTAATCTTCAAATGCTAGATTTTTTAAATATCTTAAAATAATATAATTTTTAAATACTTTAGATAATCAGCAAATTGTATAGGTAATTCTTTACATAAGGAATCAATAGTAGTATTCATTTTGACTTCTCCAACTGCTATAGTTCTATCTTTTTCTCCAATATTTTACAAATTTTACCATGGTAACTTGCTTAAAATCATTATCATAAATTACCCTAAAATTAGGTAGATTATGACATACATCATAGATTCTAAATCATCTTTTCTGCTAATTTCAAATCCTTTATGAGCAGCAATTGAAGCATATCTTGTTGTTCCTATAAATGATTTTCTATCTTTAAATGGACTCTCATCATATAATATATTTACATATGTCTTCCTTTATCTAAAATAGATTTTGAAACACCGAAATCTACTAAATATACAATTGATGTATTTTATTTGCCCATCATAATATTTTCTGGTTTTAAATCTCTATGAACTATTCCTCTTTAATGTACTGATTTAAACACAGATAATAATTAATCTAATAATTATAAACCAGATTTTAGTGATAATTATTTATATGTTCGATTATAATATCCTAGGTCTTTTCCCAATAATTCAACAACCATTACATTATAATTTTATTCTGCTCCAAACCAATATAATTTTGTTATTCCTTATATTCCTTATAATTTAGTCAGTAAATAAACTTCTCTATCCAATGTCTCATGTTCTCCTTTTTCTAATTTTACTGCAACTTCTTCTCTTGTCACTTTATGAATTGCCAAATATACTACACCAAAAGATCCTGAACTTAGTTGATTCTTTATTATATATTTGTTATCAAAAATTTTAGGTTCTAGATAACTACTTGGTAATTTTTTCATATTTAATAATTATATTCAAGAATCAAATAAACAAGAATATAATCTTTATTTTACATTTTCATTCAAATAAGAAATATAATCATATATAATTACTATTTACTATCTAAACTACTAATTAAACATATATTTACAAAGTCCTCTATTTTTAATATATTTAATTTACTACTATATTTCTATTCTAAATGATAATTAATATAATCATATAATCATATAATGCTTCTTATTCATAAAGCTCTCTTATATAGATCATTTATATTATTTCTGATGTTATATTTAATCAATATTTTATTATTATATCAAGTATCTGATTACTCATTTTAAATTCTTTTTGTTTAAATAAATTATTTACAATTCTATACTTTATTTTAACTTTTTTAAGTGCTCTTTTATCTGATTCTCATTTTACAATCAAATTAAACACTATCACAAAATAAATCAATTATTATCTAAATAAAATTTAATTTATTTTTATAATCTAAATTTCCTCAAATGGTTCCTAAAAATCCTGTTAGTGATATTAATACTCTTGTATTGAAACAATATAAGATTATGTATGAAGAGATTTGTTTAAGGTTTAAATCTGAAAAAGAGACTTAAGCCAAAGAACTTGAAATCTTGAAAGATAAATACGATAATCTATAAAAAAGATGGGAAACTCTTAATTAATTAAAAGATAAATTTGATGCAAAACTCAAATAAGATACTAATGATCCTAAATCATTAAATTAAGTTCATAAAACATCTGGACATTAATAAACTAATTTTTAACCTAATTCAGAAAAATAATTATTTTTTACTTAAATTTAATAGTTAAATGATTAAATTGCTAAATAAAAAAAATAAATTTAAGAATTAAATGATAAAAATGAAAAGCACTCTATTGATAATAAAAAACTAGAAATTGAAAATAAAAAATATTCTGAATAACTAAATTAAATTAGAAAATCATCTAATCATAAAATTAATGATCAATAAATATTGCAATATGAAGATAATATATAAAAATTTATTTAAACTATTGAGGACATGAAAAATGAGAAAAATAATAATGAAAAGCTAATTGAAAAATTAACAAAAGAAAATTAAGTTTTATATTAAACAAATGATGAACTTAAAAAAAAACATCATGAACATGATAAAAATTAATAACAAAAAAATTAGTTTTAATTATAATTAAGTGAATTAGGATTAAAAAATAGTCAGTTAGAAAAATTAGTTAAAGATTTGGAAAAATAATAACAATATTAATAAGATCTAGCTTAATAAAATGCTAAATAAATGGAAGATAAACAGTAAGAAATATAAATATTATAATAAAAAAATTAGGAATATTAAAAAGAATTATAAAATCTAAATTAATTGTAGATTGTATATAATGAATAATAATAATAACTTTAACATTTAGCTGATGTTATATAATAATTGGAGAAAAAACTTTCAGAATCTGCTAATTAAAAATCAAATGAATCTGAAAAGAAATAATAATAACAAAAATATGATGATTTATATTAATAATATACAGAACTATAGACTTAAGACATAATGAAATAGGAATGGCTTAATCTATAAAAATCTTAACTTGAAGATATTAAATAAGAGAATGAATAATTAAATCATAGAATAGAAGAATTGTAATAATAAAATACTCTTTTGATTGGTTAGCTTGAATCTTAAAAGGATGATACTAGATTAACTTTAAGTTAATTATAAGATTAGGTAAATTCTTATGAACATATTGTTTCTGATAAGAATTAAGAAATTCAATAATTAAATTTAGAGATATCAAAATAAAAGTTTAATTTAAAAAACGATGACTATGAAGAAAAAATTAAATAATTGAAAACACAATATGAAAAATCAGAATCAGAATCTAAAATGAAAATTGAATGGATGGAAATATAAAATACAGAATTAGAAGAAACTATTAATGAATATGAAAAAAAAATATCAAATTTTGTGGAATAATTGAGTTAATTATCTAAAATTAATTCAGAAGATAATTCTGAAAAGATTGTTGAACTTTAAGAACATCTTAAATAATATGAACTTATAGTTAATAATAAAAATATTGAAATTGATGAATTGAAGAAATAAATTAATGAGATAAATAAAAAATAAAGTGATGAAGATTTTGAAAAGAAGTTTTTAAATTTACAAACATAATATGAAAAATTAGAAACTGAAAATCAGATGAAATAATAATGGTAGAATATTTAAGAAGAAGAACAATAAGAATAAGTTAATTAATTAAATGCATAAATAGATAAATTAAATGATGAATTGTCTTAAACATAAAATTTAAACTAAAAATGTAAATTTTAATTTTATTTTAGTACAAAATACATTATAATAAGAAAATGAAAAAAATGAATAATTGATTAAATAATCTTAATAATAACTTTTAGATATTTAAAATTCATTTAATTCAGGAAATATTAAAAATGCCTTACGAAAATCAATTAAAAAAGAAGAATCATTTGAAGAAGAAGCAAATACAAAAAAAAATTAAGATGAATAATGTGTGAATGATTTAAAGGATAAAATTATAGCATTAAATGAAGAATTAGGTGAATATGAAGAGAATTAAATAAATTTACAGTAATAAATAACTTAGTTAACAGAATAGAAAAATAAAATTTAATCTTAATATGAAGAAATGTATAATTATTATTCAAGTATAATATTTATAAAATTATATAATAGAAGCTTATGATTAAGTATAAGACTTAACAGTTTAAGTTGAGGATCTTAAGAAAATAATTTTAGACAAAGAAAATTAGATAGTAGAAAATTAATATTAGATATAATAATTGGAGGAATAACTATTATAAATGAATGAAATAAATAAGGATGCTATTAATGAAAATTAAGATATAAATGAAATGAAAGCATTTTATGAGCAAAAGTTTTTAGAGTAGGGAACATTAATATAAAATTTATAATAGTAATTAGAATAAACTTCAGATTAAGATTATTATTAAAAGATGAACAAAATATTATAAGAGAATGAAGAATTAAGATAATTAAGAAGTGAAAATTAAGAAGAATTAAATAGAAAAGATTAGATGATAGAGGAATTATAATTATAAATGTTAACATAATCATAAGTGACAGGAAGTTCTGGTATTTATAATTAATATATATATAGATCTACAAGAAAGAAAAAGAAGACAAGAGTTATTAGAAAAAGTAAAAGAGGATAAATCTGATATTTCTGGATCTTCAAATGAATAATTGATTTAGAAAATAGGTAATTAGAGTAATGGAGAAAGTGCAAAATAATCTCTAAAATTAGATAATACACAAGATTTATCAAAATCTTCAAAACCTAAAAGTGCTAAGAGTTTAGATTTTCAAGAGTGAATTTGTTTCTAATTTATTTAAAAATAAATGTATGATCATGCCTTCTTAGGTTTGAACACAACAGCTGCTAATTTTAATACTCCAAATAAAATGGCTGCTTTAAAGAATTCTTTAAATTGCTTGCTTCTAAATTCTCTTGTTGCTTATTATTTCTCTTATTGTGGTTGAAGGAAGAACATTTAATTATATATTTAATTTTATTTATGATAAGTAATTAATATGATGAGCTTATGAATAATGAATTCGATGTTAGAGAATTCATACTTAAGAATTTTGTATAAGCTAATTTTGAGATCAATTATAAAAAAATAGAATAGTCTATGCCATAAATAGCTTAAATATAATCATAAACATGTGAAGATATAGCAAGCTCTGTCGATAATAATTTAGAAGATTATGTTGAAATAAGCACTTAATTAACATCATTACAATCTTAATTAGATAATTTAACACTTTAATTCAATAACATCACTGATATTATTGTATTGACTTAAGATAATTTGTAATAAAGAATATATTAAATTAATGTCATTGTTGAAAATCTTAAGTTAATATAGAATCTTTAACTTAATATGAAGGATTTAAGAAAATTAATCAATATATTAGAAAATATAGACTTAAATCAAGAAATGTCAAATCATAATCTACTTGAAATGAGTGAATTAATTGTTAAATCTAGATTATTATATACAGAATTAGATAAATCACCACATTGTAGATAATTAATTTAATAATTTGATCTTTTGTAAATTATTCAATCTAATTAATGCTCATTTTAAAATTTATTAGAAAAGCAATTTGTTAATTGTTTATAAACTTTCAATTCTATTAAGTTTGCTTGTATCTTAAGATCATTCTAAAAAATGCAACTTAATAAAACACCTGAAAAATTGCTTGTCTAATTTTTATTAAAACCAGCATTTGATATAGCTTTTGCTAAATTAAATAAGAATCTATTAACTAAAGATACATCTAATTTAGAATCATTTTTATCATAAGTACTATAGATATATGAAAATAATATTGAAATAGCTAAAGTAGAAACTGAAACATTCTCTTTTAAAAATATTTTGGTAGAGTTACTTTATATCTATTTATCAACTAAAGAATGTGTTAATATATATTCTCTTGGAGTTTTGGATTTATTTTAATAGAACTATTAGAATATATAAAATGTTAAATAAACTCTTAAAGTAAATTTTGAAAAAGGATCTGATGTAGAAAAAAAATTTATGGAAAAATGGAATTTATCAACATATTTTTCAATGAGATAAGCAGAAATTATTAAAAAATTAGAATCTGAACTTTAAAATTAATTAACAAATAATGAATACAATTTTCATTTGGTTTTATAAAATATTATAGAGAATTGTTTTTCATAAAAAGTTTATATCTCCTTATTAAAATAGAAATTTTATACATTAGCTATATAAATTATAACAAGGTTTTGTAATTTTATAAAAGCAAATAAGAATTCCATATAAAATGACAAGGTTCCATTTGTAATTAATAATTTATCAAAGATATATTTATCTTAATTATAATAAGATATTTTAATATTATAATTGGAAAAAATAAGATCAGTGATCTCAGAATTAATAGATATTGTTATAGTTTAGATAAAGATTGAATGTTAATAAAATTTAGAACCATTTAGTGGTATACCAGCTAAATTTAGAATGACAAATAGAGACATGCCAAATTAACCATCAAATTTTTGTATCAACATTTTTAAACCACTTTAAAATTATTTATTAAAATTAGATGATGATTCTATAAAGAAATTAACATGTGAAAAAGTATAATTTTATTATATATAAAAGGTATGTAATTCTACATTAGAAAGATTTTAAGTAATAAAAAAATAAGCATTAGACACATGTGATAAAAATGAAGAATTAATGGCTAAAATGGGAGTTAAAAAAAATGATGCGTTAGATAATTAAAAAATAAGAATGTAGTTTTAATTGGATGAAGAGGAAATAAAAAATATTATGATAACTAAATTATATTAATGATTTTTTAACAATTAAAATTAGAATTATATGATTGTTTAAGACCTAATTTGCATTAAGAATTAATGAAACGACCTGATTATTTTGATTAAAAACAAAAAAAGAATTACAGCTTTGATTTAAATTTGGATAGATTTCCTATTTAATTGCAATAATAAAAGTAAAAACAAAATCAAACCTGGAGACTTTAAATTGCAACTGCCAAATAAAATAAAGATCAATATGAAATTATTTTAAGTTCTTACAGACATAATATGTCTTCATCTGTAAATAATTCAAAAAAATAAAAAAATAATAGTAATAAGAAAAAATATATAGAAAATGAAAAATAATAGATTAACTTTAATAATTAAGTAAATTAATATATATAAGTATAATAACATTCTTAAAAATTTGTGAGAATTGGTAGAGTTATATAAAGAAATGAAATAAGTATGGGAAGTATAGATAGTATTTAAAATAGAAGAAAGAAATTGAGCAAAGTTTGAATTTATTTAGAATTTATACTTTTATCATATAATTTTCTTAGGAATAAGAAGATTGTTCTAATTTGTTATTTTATAATTTAAAGATGGCACTAAATTTAAGATATTGTTTTTAACAATTGATCTTCGAGTATTAATTGAAGGAATTGAGTCTCTATCATGAATATCTGTTTTAATTCTTTATGTTTTTGACTCTTGAGCATAATCATTATTGATTATATTTAATCCTAAAAAAAAAGAGGATTCTGTTTTTCTAAATGATTTCTGCTTTATAATAGGAATCTTATTTAATTTAACAGGACTGAGAGAAGGCTATGTTAATTCTGTTAATGTAGGAAGAATAGCTTTATTTGATTAAATAATTTTTTGATTTTTCTTAGAAGAATCTGGATCAAATTGAATAATTATTTATTCATTATCAATGCTGAATTATTACTAAAACTTTAGGAATTTAAATTCTTAAGAGCATTCATAAGTTTAATTACTAATTGCATTTAAACGACAATTTTTTTCTTTTTAAGAAAGACAATTAAGAGTTCGATAAGTTTTAAACATTTTTGTGGGTCTTGTTATTGATAATTTATTAAGAAATTATTAATTTCTTGGACTATATGTATCCAGATTTTGTTATTCATATTAATCTTCATCAAATTCAGCAATTGAAAATTTAAATTAAGTGATTTATGTTTTTTATTAAAAAGGAGATTGTTTAATTGATAATTTCTACAATTAAATTATAAACAAAATAGATTATAATTATTAAAAAATCTATAATTATTATAAAAAATACTTGATTTTTTAATTCTTAACATATTCCGAATTATTTTAGACTCATAGGAATTGGATCATGAAATTATCGAGTAATCCATGGATGAACTAAAGCTTATGAAGCAGTATATCGAGAATCTTGATCGAATTATAATAATCTTTATAAGAGATCTCTAGCTAGAGGAGATGCATGTAAAGGTTATTCATATTTTAAATTAGGAAAGCTATTAATAAATTCTTTTTTAGTGTTAATTCTAGGATAGAATGGATGTTATCCTTAATTAAGAAGCATGTAAAATACAATACCACAAGACCACATATCAACAGCTTTATTATATGATTTATTCAATATTTATTCAGGTGCCATAAATATAAATGTTCCACATTATTCTGAAACTGTCTAATAGTAACGTATTTCAGGTTTATATTTATAACTTAAACCAAAATCAGCTATTTTTATACTAGATAAGTCTTCTGAATTTTTAATTAAGATATTATCTAATTAAATGATGTATCAAATACCAGGTTTAATATCACGATGAATAATCTATTTAGAATGAAGGTATTCAACACCTGTAAATATTGATTACATTATTTAACTAATTATAGACTCTTCTAAACTTTTTTTCATTAATTCTTTTAATGATCCTCCTGCTGCATATTCCATTATTAAATATTAACAATTTCCACGTTTCAAATACTAAAACTATATCTACATAAATAACCTAATAAAATTCAATAATATTTTAATGTTTAAGACTTTCCATAATTGATGTTTCCTATATTTATGCCCCTTACATTAACTAAATATTCAACCTTAATTTATTTACCTTAATTGCCACTTCTTCATTTTTATATTATCCTTTATAGACTTAACCAAATGCTCCTTCACCTATCTTCTCTTAGATTTATATGTCTTTCTCTAAGAAAATATCATGTCTCATAATTATAATTATTATTTAATTTATCAATCAAGACTTACTTACTTATCCATATCGTATATAATATTATAACTAGTCTTTCTAGATCTAATAAAAGATAGTACATATTCATAAAATACATCGATTTTTCAATTACAAATTAAGAATCTATTTATTAAACAGTCTTAATTCAGTATAAAATAATATATCAAAATTACGTAATGAACAATATACTCAGCAGTTTCTCCCCCATTGTTAAAAGAAACTCAAATACTAAAACTGAAAGCATTGATTTTAAGATGAAATTACTTCATTTTGAACCACTTAATATTAATACTTAACCTATTAAACAAATAAGAGTTAAAATAGAAAGAAAACTATCTCCTATTTTTGATTAGAATTATAATGCTCTATTCTTAAATAAAATTAAAGTGCAAAAAATGGCTTTGAAAAAAGCAAAGCTGTCATCAAGTATAGATTATAGAGCATTACCAGGATTTGATTTTCAAGCATAGTTATAATTTCTATAACCAGCTACTCTTGTATTGCCTTCAACTCAAAGAAATAATATAAATCATATTAGTTAATCAAGGAGATAATAATTCAAAGATAGCTCATAATTTGAATCTGAAAGAAAACATCAATCAAAAGTTCGCATTCGCTTACCTAAAATTGAGAAAAGTGTTGACATAAATTTATCCAAAAGCTCTCTTAATTGTTGGACTATGAATAGCTCTTCTAGTCTTTTATAAGCTAATAAATGATTAAATTTAATGTATATAGAACATCAAATAAATAAATTTAATTAAAAATAAAAATTACATTTACATTTTAAAAAATTTAGTGACAACTTTAAATATACATATGTATGTTGATTAGATCTTAATAAATTATAGATATCAAAACATTCCTAATCTCTATTTGTGTCTTTAAACTTTTTTAGTTTACAACGTTGAACGATTCTATATTAATCAACTAAATCCTATACTTTAATCCATGGATGATTTAATGCTTCATCCAAAGATATTCTTTCATCTGGATCTTTATTTAACAATTTTGTAATCAAATCTTTTGCAGTTTCTGATATCTTTTACCAAAAAGAATCACTTAAATCATAATTGCTATCTAAAATATTTTTAATTATATCTTCAGGGAATGGAGCATCAAAAGGTAAGAATCCTTAAATTAATTAGTTTTTAATACCAGATAATAAAAAATAAAGAATAACACCTAAAGCAAAGTTATCAACTTTAAAATCGATTCTTTTTTATGATAAAGTTTCAGGAGCTAAATAATTGGTTGTTCCACATAAAGCTTCCCCTTCTTTATTTTAAATATTTGTTAAGAAATTAGCAAATCCAAAATCAATAATTTTAACATGCTTTACGATTTTAGTTGTTTGGTCAAGTACAATCATAATATTTTCTGGTTTTAAATCTCTATGAACTATTCCAACACTATGTACATAATTAATTGTATCAAATAATTAACTCATTATTAAAGAGGCCTCTTATTCATTCAAATTTTCATTATTAGTTATATAATCAAATAAATCACCATCTCTAACAACTTCTGTAATGATATTTAAATGAGTCTTTGTCTCTATTATCTCAACAAATCTTATTATACATGAATGATTCAATAATTTCATTATTTCTACTTCATGTCTATTTTTATAAAAAGATTATGATTACGCTAACATTAATTTTTCTTATTTTGACAATTTGAACTTTTCGATTATCTTTATTGCTAAATATTATTTAGTTTTTTTCTCTTCACAAAGATAAACAATAGAAAATTTACCTTCGCCTATCTTTTATAATATGGAATAATAATCATTAACTGAAGCTCTATTTCACATTATTAAATACTTCTAAAACATTTATAAACCATTTGTCCATTTCTTAAAATCTTCAAAATCTTTACAATAGTATAATCTTTAAGGATAAACTTTATCTTTATGTGAAATTTCAAATCCATATTTTTATTCTTAATTATTAACAATTTCTTGTATTGTCAAACCATCTAAACAAAATATTTCTAAATTAAGAATATTAAATAAATATTTTACTTGAAGGAATAGCTTAATCTAATTATTTATATGATAAACAAAATCTTTATATTAATTTAAAATATCTATCTTTAATAATTTTAGGATTCTTTCTACTTACTTTTTATAAGTGACCTTCTAAATCTTTTTAAACTGTTACAAACAAAGGTACAAAAGTACTACTATTAACACCCCAAATATCATAATTAAATGCTTTATAAAGTCCATCAAATATTTTAGGATGCAATTTAACAAACTATTTGAATTCTTCAATAGATAATCTATATAATTTCATCAAATTACTCTTCTTCTTGTTTTCCTTTATTTTTATAAATCATATCGACATATTTACGTACTAAATAATTTATATTTACTCTTTTTAATTCTACTAATTTTCCATTTATTTAAAATGTTATATTTTATCCAAATTATCCCATAGGAATTCCATTTGGTCCAACCAAACTTTCATTAGGAAACATCATAACAACACTTTATTCATTAAAATTTGGAAGACTTGATTAAATTGACTAACATTCTACTGATTATTATCTAGAAAGTGATTTTATTTCTCCACTTAATTATGATCCTCTTCTTTATACTGCATGAACTAATATTTTACATTTTTTATATTACTAGACTCAGTAAATTCTTATTCATCAGCTTTTAATGGTTATGCTTTCTTTTAATTTATTTTCTCTTTTTTCTCATAATATTTCATTATCTTTAAATCTTCTAAAAACATTGGATCATCTAATAATCTGATTAAATCTTCCCTAGGATAATTTTAAAGCTTTATTTAAAAACCAAATTACCATTTGAAGGAACTCAGCCTTTTTTATTATTCCTATATTTTCCAAATCATACAATTTAAATAGATGATCAATCTTTTATTCTTCATCACATTTTATAAAATATGCTACACCTTTTAAAAACTATTCAAAATTTATCAAATTTTCATTCTCATCATCTTTATTAAAATAATCAAAAACTAAATCACCCCATAATCCAATCATTGTAAAAAAATCTGTAAATGCTGTTTTATTAACTAAATTTTCTACATTTCGAGAATTTAGATCACTATATATTAAGAACAATAAATCAATCTCTTTTGGAAGAACTTACAATTATCAATATATTTACATTTTTCCTCTAATGACCGTGGTATACTATATAATTTTACTTTTTTGGGTTTACTTCCACATGTACCCATTCCAATAACTATAATCAAATTTATATAAATTTATATTTAAACGAATTACATACTAAGTTTTATAATGCCATTTATTTATAAACATATTGTTAATTATATTCGATCGGTTTTTTTTTTTTACTCATTCTACCTAATACTTTTAAAACTTTTTAATTTTTTCTATTATTTACTTTATTTTATCAAAATTTTTGTGAAAAAATCAAATTGTAGACCAAGAAAATAAATTATTCAATTTTATACTTTAATTATTTAATAGTTCTCATTAATAATTATTTTTGAATACTTTTACTTTATTTAAAATAACATTATATAATTTATGACCTGAAAATTTCACTAAATTTTATTCTTAATAATTTTTTCAATAACCATTAACGAAAAATTGAAAAATTTTTAATAAGATGTTTTGATATAATTCAAAATAATAATTCAATATAAAGAGACTGTGTATAAGATATTTTTTTTTATTTATTTGCAAATATTAGGAAAACAAATTGTTTGATTAAATTTAGAATATTTATTTATAAGAGTCCAAAATTTATAAAGAAATATTTTTATATATAATTAAATTTGAAGATATTTTTCTTTATTTAATGTTTTGTGGAGTGAATTAGAAGATGTAAATTAATAAATTTGAGATTAATAAATGTGAAAGACTCGGAGAGGGTAGCTAAGGATAAGTATATGATTGTATTGATACTGAAAACCGAAGTAATTAATTATGTGCAAAAGTTAATTCTATTAATAATTTAGATAGTGAATGTTTCAGATAAAAAAAGTTTTGATAATGAAAAATAAATTCTTGAATAGTTATTATAAAAAAAATGTAAGAATTTAGTGAGCATACATCATCATTATTACAATGAAAAAACAAATGATTTAATTATTATTATGGAAAAATGTTAGTCAACATTAAAGGAGGAAATAAAATAAAAAAAATGTTTTTCTGATTAGGTATTAGAAGATTTCTTATGTTAATTGTTATCTGGTTATCAAATTTTATATAATGCTAAAATACTTCATAGAGATTTAAAACCAGAAAATATTTTGTTAAAGAATGAATTTGGAAAATAAATTTATAAATTAACAGATTTTGGTATTAGTAAATTTTATAGTGGTGTTGCCTCATTAGAAGTAACAAGAATAGGTACTCCATTGTATAGTTCTCCTGAATTATCAGGAGGATTAGGAACATACAAAATAGAGGAATAACTCATAATTGATTAAACTGATCAATTTCCTTAAAGTAGAAGTGATGTATTTTCTGTAAAATTTATTAAATTTATTTTAGCTTGGCTTAATTCTTTATGAAATGATTACAGGAGAATTACCTTTTAAACCTTCCAAATCAATATAATTTAGATAAGAATTAAAAAATAACCCATTTAAATTTAACACCAAACATAGTTCGCAATATATTGATTTAGTTGAATAAATGATCAAGTATAAACCTTCTGATAGAATTTCTTTCCCTTAATTATTTAATAGATTTCAAATTAATTAATAAGTGGAAAATTTTTTAAATTTTAATAATCGTCTTCATACTTTAACACAACCTAAATAAGACTCCAATAAAAAAGATAAATAATAAACTACTTTTTTGTTTTGTTAATAAAGTCCATAGTAAGACACAGCTTAAATTAAATCATATATTTCTCCTTAAAAATAGAATTAAGAACAATTAGGGTCTTTTTAACCAATGAAAATCTAATAAAATGCTTAAGCTTAAGTATTTTAATAATAATTTCCAAACTAACCTTAAACTACTTTTATCTAAAATTAACAATTTTTTCCCTTCTCCTAAAATTAAAATTAAGAAATTAAATAAAGTAACCATCCATTACCTAGGTATTTAATGTTTCATAATTTATGTTAGATTTAGCACTATCAATCGAGAAACAAATGTTAGTTCATTTTAAAATAACAATTAATTTTAAAATAGCAACCAAAATATTAATGTTTAATAAACTATAAAAGAATATATTGATGATATTTTGTATGAACTATAATTTAATTAGGAATAATTAATACTTTTTAATGAAGGAAGAAATATATCACGAGCTTATAAATTTTCCATAATTAAGTTCTCAGTAAAAGAATTAAGTTGAAAAACTGAAATAGATTTTTGTTTTTGATAGATCAAAGTTAGATAAATATAATTTCAATTACCTTTAATTTCAATATTGTTTGGAAAATTATAATTAAGTATAGAAATTAGATATCAATTTTTTAGTTGTTTGCCATTTTAACAACTAACTACATAATTTTAGTATTGGTATTTTCTTTTGATTTATTTCAAAAGTTTAATCCCTCAAAAAAATATATGTTTGAAAAAAAAATGCTAATAAGAATTTGAATCTTTGCTCAAAAGAATATTGCTTCATTCTTTAAATAAGAAAATGAAGTTCATTCTAAGTGAGATATTAGTTTTGATAGAAAATTGATAATATAATCTTGATAATTTAAGAATGAATTCATCTAAATTCTTGATGAGGAATTTACATTTTCTAGTAAATATGAAAAATAATTTATATTTAAACATATTTTTATAATAAATAAATGCTTTGCTGCAATAAAAGAAAGAAGAAAATTGATGGAAGCCTAGTAACAAGAAAGATTAAATTAGAAATAGTAAAAATTTATCGATTTTTAGCAATAAACTTAGGATATAAATGATGAAGCGATGACATTATATTAAACTTAAAATTTCTTTAATAACTCCAATCTTTTTCACAATACCAATGATCTATAAAGTTATAGGTAATGGAAGACTTATTTTAGATACAGAACTAGCTCAAATTATAAGGAAAGTAGATCAGTTGAAAAACTTATATAGAATCTTCCAAGTCTTAGTCCTCGATAAAGTTCATTTAAAAGTTTCAAATATTGTCATACAAGTCCTGATACTAAATTTATTTCTCAGAAGTAAGGTTTTACCTTATTAATAACAAAATCACCTAAGAAGTGAAATACTTTATGTTGAAAAACCTTTTAAATAAAATATTTATTTCTTATATCAATTTAATATATGGCTTTCTGTTTACTTCTTTCTTTAAAAGACACTTAAATATAAAAAAAAAACAAATCTAAGAACATAATTCAACTGAAATAATTAAGGAAATTAAGAATTATTGTATTAAAAGATTTTTCTTGTAAAAAAATTGTTTGAATTACATAAGTTCTTAAATTTCTTTTGAATTCAGACTTTAGATTAATTACATTTCTAAAAATACAATTTCTTCATTTCATATAATAATTAAAAAGGAATTAATTCAAATAAAAAAAGTAATTTCTTGATATATAATGNAATAATTAAGTATAGAAATTAGATATCAATTTTTTAGTTGTTTGCCATTTTAACAACTAACTACATAATTTTAGTATTGGTATTTTCTTTTGATTTATTTCAAAAGTTTAATCCCTCAAAAAAATATATGTTTGAAAAAAAAATGCTAATAAGAATTTGAATCTTTGCTCAAAAGAATATTGCTTCATTCTTTAAATAAGAAAATGAAGTTCATTCTAAGTGAGATATTAGTTTTGATAGAAAATTGATAATATAATCTTGATAATTTAAGAATGAATTCATCTAAATTCTTGATGAGGAATTTACATTTTCTAGTAAATATGAAAAATAATTTATATTTAAACATATTTTTATAATAAATAAATGCTTTGCTGCAATAAAAGAAAGAAGAAAATTGATGGAAGCCTAGTAACAAGAAAGATTAAATTAGAAATAGTAAAAATTTATCGATTTTTAGCAATAAACTTAGGATATAAATGATGAAGCGATGACATTATATTAAACTTAAAATTTCTTTAATAACTCCAATCTTTTTCACAATACCAATGATCTATAAAGTTATAGGTAATGGAAGACTTATTTTAGATACAGAACTAGCTCAAATTATAAGGAAAGTAGATCAGTTGAAAAACTTATATAGAATCTTCCAAGTCTTAGTCCTCGATAAAGTTCATTTAAAAGTTTCAAATATTGTCATACAAGTCCTGATACTAAATTTATTTCTCAGAAGTAAGGTTTTACCTTATTAATAACAAAATCACCTAAGAAGTGAAATACTTTATGTTGAAAAACCTTTTAAATAAAATATTTATTTCTTATATCAATTTAATATATGGCTTTCTGTTTACTTCTTTCTTTAAAAGACACTTAAATATAAAAAAAAAACAAATCTAAGAACATAATTCAACTGAAATAATTAAGGAAATTAAGAATTATTGTATTAAAAGATTTTTCTTGTAAAAAAATTGTTTGAATTACATAAGTTCTTAAATTTCTTTTGAATTCAGACTTTAGATTAATTACATTTCTAAAAATACAATTTCTTCATTTCATATAATAATTAAAAAGGAATTAATTCAAATAAAAAAAGTAATTTCTTGATATATAATGATACATCCAATGCAATCTCAAAAACAAATGATTTTAAAATTAAATAATCAAAAATTTTATTTCAGAGTTCATTTTACTAAGTTTATCGGATTAATAAAATTATTTTCTACATTCAAATCACATGGATAAATTTTAATTAATTCTTAACTTTGTAATGTGATTAAGTAAAATTATGTATTTTGAATTCATTTAACATACAATTATAATTTGAATTATCTTGATGTAATTAAAAATATAAAATCCACTCCACTTAAAATATTTTTACTAATTAGTATCTCATTTTACTAAAATTTTTATCATAAATATTACTTAAATTTATAGAGTATATTACCATTCCAAATTTCACTTAATTTAAATGTTATAGATTTCTTTGTAATTATGATGGATTAATGATTATGAAATTTTAATTATACATTACTCATAAAGTATAAGTTTTAAAATAACTTAATTCCTTTATTTAATTTGGTAAAAGTGTATTAAAGTTGATGATGGAGAAAGCTTATAAATAGGATTATAAAAGATTAATAGGGGATTATATTTTTTCATTAAAAAAATCAGAAACATTTAAAGCATTATGTTATTCAGAAAATAATTGTAAATTTAATTACTATTTTCTTTTTAATAATTAATGAAAATAAGAGAGAACAATAGTTTAAAGATAATTAAAATAAAAATCTCAATTTTGAGATATTGAAAAGTCTTGCATACTGATCAGTAATCTATACGAAATATGTATATTCATTAATTTATAAAAACTCTTTAATAATAATTTTATTATGTTAACTTATGCCTATAATCATGAAACATTTAACAATCATGAGGAATTGTCTTTAGTCAATGTAAATTTGATCTAAATATTTTAGCATCAATTAATTCTATAAGCAATTTCTGATATGCCATTATAATTGTAATAGAAGGAAAAAACTCTTTAAATGGAGAATACAAAATTAAAAAACGAAAATATCGAGCTATAATCATAAGTAAATAAATTAGAAAACAAACACCAGGAATTGATTAATGAAGTAAAATAATAATATATCTTAAGATTTAAGATCTGAGATAGTTAGTGAAAAGAGTATATTAGGAAGGGGAAGTATAGATTTAGTATTAAAAGTAAAAAAATGTAAAATTTAATATAATTCTAAGAAAAAATTAGAGTACAATAATGAAAGTTTAACAAAGGCTTTGGTGAATTTGTAAAATAATTTAGATACTTTTGCTTAATTAAAAAATTTATCCAGTTTTCTTAATGACAATAATGAAATTTAAGAGGAGATTTGAATGGAAAATCCTTCTTCTTTTTAATGATGATTATTTTATAATAATGAATATTATTTTTATATAAATTAAAAACTCAGATCAATTCTTAGAAATTTATTATAACACTTTAATTCTATTTATTCAATTTGTATTACAAACTTAACATCACCAATTTTGCCAAAATTTATTATTACCCCTCAGATCATTTAAAAAGATAATTTTTTATAATATTAATAAAAATATTGTACAAGATAACATAATAAAAATATGTGAAAAAATGTAGTTTTATATCGAATTTGAAAAAGAAAATATACTATAGATAGATATTTACAATAAAATAAACCAAAAACAGATAAAGAGAATAAAAAAATAGTTGTTATTTAAATCAAAGATAAAATCCTTTAAGGAATGTTAAATATCCTTTTTAAAATTAAGTAAATTTTTATGTATTGTGTATTTATTAATAAAATAAACATTTTTGGAATTTTTTAGTTGAATTAATAAATTTAAAAAAGAAAGACAAAAAATAGATATCTAAAATAAATTTGAATTGAATCATTATAAAAAAACTCTAATAAGTAAGAATATAAAAATGATCTTTCTATGATTAAATTCCATTATCTAAATATAAAACCTAATATAGGTAGTAAAATTAATTTAGTTGGCATAAATAGAAGTTTATTTAAAATTAATACTTAAGAATTATGATTAAGAGTAATTTAAAATATATAAACTTCATAAAATAATGAGATTAAAGATGGAATATAAGTTTATAAGGAGAATAATTGATAAACTAATCTATTTTGAATAAATTCAATAATATATATAGAAATAAAAAAAATAAGATGAAAAATGTAAATAAATATAGATTAAATTGCAAATTATTGATAGAATCAAGACGATAGAAAGTATTGACTCCTCAAAAAATGAATTGTACTATAGATGATATAATGAATTAATTTAATTTTATTGAGTCTAGTAAGACATAAGCAATGATTTTATAATAAAATCTAAATAAGACATAATAGATAAAATTTATGGAATAAGAAGAAAGATCAACAGTTAATAGCAATATAACAAAAATGAATTATTTTAAGTCAAAGTAAGAAAGATTTCCATAAATGATGAAAAGAATGGGTATGGAGTTTCCTCCTTTAATAATAAAAGCTAAGTAATTAAATGAGAAATAAATTCGTAAACCAGAGTAATATACTTAGAGAAGGAGATTTGTGACAACATAAGAGAAATATGAAGAAAATAATACAAATAATTACATACAATTAATAAGTGAGACAAGATGTGTTTCAAATAATAGATAATAATAAAATAAGAGGTTATAAACATTTTGTAGTTGGTCTAGAAAAAGTTCAGATAATCTTTCTTTAAAAAAACATTTATTTTGATTTTTAAAGTTTTTGAAAGTAGTGATAGTATTTTAGTGAATCTATGTGAAAAATAGTTATAAAATATAGAATGATATTAATAGCTTTTATTGATTGATCAAAAGTAGAATACAATCATCATAATTAAGGATAAAATCAATAAGAATAGAATAGCTTTGAGTTTTCTTACATTTTCAATTTCAACAGTAGCTTCATCTAAATTATAATAATGATGAGTTACCTGCATGTCTTTCATCTTTTTCAATATCTCCATCTTTAATACAAATTAAATTAAAAAGTGATGGAAATAATCCATAACCTGCAATCATTGCTCCATTAGCTAAATTATTTTATCCAACTTAATTATTATTTCTAACAGGATCATTTCTACCAGGTTTAGGTCTAGGAGGTATATTAGGATCACGTGGTTTACTATTTAATTAAATTAATAATTACTTAGATTTAGCTTCATCTTTTGAATATAAAGGAATTAAAGAAGTCTTAGAACAACCATTTTTACAAACTGGACATGTTAGAAATTCTTAATTTGAATTAAGCCACTAATATTCATATTTAGATAATTTTACACTATAAATACAAGGCCAACAAAATAAATGTCCACAATTTGTTAATATTGGTTCTGTTGCTATATCTAAACATATATTGCATTCAAATGCTGATTCTATTAATTATTATTTTTATTCCTCATCTTGTTTACTCATCTTTTTTATTATATTAATATCTATTTATAATTATATGTTAATTCTTAATTATTTAATTAATATAATTATGTCATAGTTTTATCCTGTCAGATAATCTTAAACATAAATATCTAAAGTAAGAAATATTTTAAATTAAGAATTTATTCCAATTTGTAGATGATATAATTATTGAGCATTAAATTAATTTATTATCCAAAAAATCAATTGATCAAATTATAGTACTTTATAGAAATCAAAAAAATTGTTGAATATTTTAATAATGGAAAGAGAACAACAATTAATTGATTAATATATTAGATAGTGAGAATCTTGGAGATTCTTTCAGAGAATTTTATAGTCATAAAATTATTAAATAAGATTTTTTATTATTGTTTGATGATGTTATAATTAATATCTCATTGAAATAAGTGATTCTTAAATATCAAGATCAAAAGAAAATAAGATAAAATGAACATTTTATTAATTTTTGTTCATTAAGGAATCTAAAAATATGAAGAAGAAAGATTTCTTTATATAGTAGAATCGATCTTTATTAATTAACAAAACTGTAATTAAAATAGTTTAAGCTAAATAAGAATATTATATTTTATAATTTATTAAGAACATATTACTTTATCTAAATAAATGTTATGTAAATATGTAATTAAAAGTAATCTTATTGAATCTGGAATTTATATCTGTGTTATTGTGAGACTATTAATTCGATTTTATGAGATGATATTGAAATTGAAGAATATATTATTATTAAAGATAGTATTATTGCTTCAGGATTTAATTTTAAAATTCCATCCAGTCTTAAATTCTGACTAAATGTTCAACTGTTATTTAAGTAAGATAAGCTATTATTAATTTAAACACTTTTAAAGTTAATTCTAATATGCTTTTAGAAGATATTGTTACAACATTTATGTCTATATTTCTAGATACTCTTTAATCAGATGTTGATTCACTTAAAAATGCATATTCAATATGGGAGCAATTTATTAATAAATTTATTAGTGAATTTGCATCATATATCAAATCTATTGAAAGATTTTGTAGATAAAATCAATAGTATCATTTAAATTAATTCTTATAATTTTCATATCAAATCAAATTTTAAATGAACAAGGAATTCTAAACTATTTAAACTAAATGGCATCAGCAGACGAAGATTTATTTCCTTAAAAATTTACAAAAACTAGCTAAAATTTTTAAAATTATCTAGAAAACATTATTGCGAAGTAACATCAAACATAAGAAGACTAAGATGGAGAATATGAATATATCTATGAATGAATTTACTATATACTAATTAACAAATTATTTTTATTTTTTTATTACTTATCTATAAATGCCAAGATTTTATATTTCACTCCATTATTTTATTTTTTATTCACATCCAGATATTTAATCATTTTATCACAAATATTTGTTATATTTATATATTTTATTATATTCAGATTCGCCTTAAACAGAACATTTTGTAATTCATTTACAATATTTTATCATTCATGATTAAATTTAATTATTTATTTTATTTAATTAATTTTTTTTCTTTATTTATTATTTATCAATCCCTACTTCTATCTTCCTATTTAATTTTCAACAATGTACTCATTTCCAGAATATAAATTCTTTATAATTTATTTCATATATATTCATATCAATCCATTTTATATAAAAAATTAACCAATGTATTATCAAGTTCAAATAAAAAAAATTAATTTCGTATTATAAAAGCAATTCAAACAAAGTTATCATTAGAACCATAAATCTTATATTAATTTTCATCTTAAATAATTTTAAAAGTAATTTATAAATATGAGAAATTATAAAATAAAGATGCTAATTTTCCCAAAATTATTTAAGTGATCCAAAAAAGAAGACTTAGAAATTTAAAACTAAATTCAAACATAATTAAATAAAAAATTAAAAAATTTACATAAAATTTTAGAATAATTTGAGGATGCCATGCCATCTTTGAAATTGTGATTATAAGACAATCATTGATTTTAGAGAATGAACTAAAAGCTAGATCCGCCTTGAATTAACCAGTTTTGAGAGCAAACTCAAAATGAGTAGAAACTGATGTTAATATTGAAATTTTCATTAAAAGATATGAATGCAATTTTATTAGAAACTTAGATGATTTCTTCTAAATGAGACATATATTTTGTAAAGAATAAAATATTGATTAAGATGAATATTTTTAGCAATCTTTTTTATCAAATTCTAATGAGTTATTAATAAATTGAATTAAATTATTAATTAATGGATTCCAAAAAGCTATATTTTTTAGTTGGATTGACTGGAGGCATTTTTCTTTCTTTTCTAGGTTAAAAAATGCTTTAAAGAAGAGATAATAAAAATAAACAGTCTTAAAAATAAAATCATTCATAAGAAGAAGAAGAAGAGTTACTTAAAGAATAATTAGTGAGAAATATATAATTTTTTGGTGAAGCATAAAATAAAATAGCAAACTCTCATATAATGGTTATTGGAGTAGGAGGAGTAGGAAGTCATGTGGTATCTGCAATATCTCGTTCAGGAGTAAAAAAGATTACTATTATTGATTTTGATAGAGTCACCCTTTCATCTTTGAATAGGCATGCTATTGCTACAAGAAAAGATGTAGGTAAATCAAAAGTTGAAATATTCACTGATTTTATTGCATAATTGAATAAAACTATTAAATTAACAACTATTGAAGCATATATTACTCCTGAAAATATTGATACTTTATTTTAAGGAGGTAAACCTGATTACGTGATTGATTGTGTAGATAATATTGATGCTAAAATATCTTTAATAACTCATTGTGTCAAAAATTAAATTAAAATTATTGTATGTTGTGGAGCTGGAATGAAATGTGATCCAACAAGAATTCAAATTAGAGATATTAGTGAATCTCAAAATGATGATTTAGCAAGAGCAATAAGAATGAGACTCAAAAAATTTGATATTAGAACTGGGTTTAATGTAGTCTATTCCACTGAAGTTAATGACAAACAATTACTACCATTACAAGAGTATTGTTTTTAATTATCATTGATAGACATTAAAAAGGAGATCCAGATAAATATAGAGTTATGCCTAATTATAGATTAAGAATAGTTCCAGTTTTTGGTTGTATGCCAGCATTATTCGCATAAGCATTATCTGCTTATGTATTATGTGATATTGCTGGTTGTCCTCCAATAACTTTATGCTAAAATGATATTAAAATGCCATATTTTATTTAATAAATGTAATTACTAGCTTAACAAGCCAAGAAAAATAATGTTGAATTACAAATAGATATTGAAGATTTAGTTGTTATTTATAAAGCTTATAACGGTTTTTGCTTGGTTAAAGGTATATCTAATTCTATTATAAAGATAAAAAAACTAGACCTTTAGAATTTATATAATTTGACAAACTACAGGATATAACTCCAAATAATATTATTTTATTATCATCTGAAGAGGCTAAAAAACATAAAGAAGGCAAAATGATTTATTCCCAAATCATTTTAGAAAGAAAATTAAACTATGAGCAAATTATTCAAAAAAACTTAGGAAAGAGAATATTTATTTGATATTTGCTTTAAAGCTTTTGATATTTTATGATAGAGTCATATTTTTATTTTTTCAAAAAATTTCCTTTAATATGAACTTAAATACTAATAAAAAAGCCAAAAATGAAAAGCCATTTACTTTATATCTTTGTCATTTTTTCTATTTTTAACTTAATATATTTATTTTTCTCCTCTAAAATATCTATTTATAATATAAAAAGTTACAATTCATTGAAACTAATTTCAAATATTATATGTAAATTATGTACATCTTGTATTATTTGGAATTTTATATTCATTTTTATATTATATAGTATGTATATTTAATTTTAACCTTGTTTATGAATTATAAAACATTTTTAGAAGATTATTATCTTTATACCATTTTGTATAAAATCTATAAGAAAATTTTCAAAGTATGTTTAAATGATTATAAACATTATTTTTTAATTGATTTCAGTCTTTTATTATATTATTTAACATTTAAATATATTTATGTTTTTAAATTTTATATAATTTATAATTTAAGTTTCTTTTAATTAATTTTATCTTTATAGCAAAGATTAATTTTACCAGATATATATAACAAAACAATTTCAGAAATAATAAGCATTAATTCAAGCTTAATAATTACTACTTAAAATAACATTCCTTCAAAATGTTTTTCTAACCAATTATTTATCACAAAAATTACTCCTCTCATTAATTTTTTTACACAATTCAATATTTAAAACCGAAAATACTCCATTTGTACTGAATTTGAATTAATAATCAGATTGAACCTTTTAATTTATAAATTGAGGAACATTAGTAAATTAGTATATGATATCAATCAATTATTTATCAAATTAAATACATAAAATAAAATAAGAACTAAATTTTGATTTGACAAATTTAGTTTTAATTTACAATTTTACAAAAATCTATGATTTCTAGTCATCAAATTCATTTACAATTTAAATTAAAAAATATATTAATATTTAAGGTAATTAGATACAATGTTAAACTGCACACTAACATCTATCTTGAAATTACTTCATATTATTTTAATTCA